TCAGCCCTTTTCCCCCAGCCTTCCAAATTCTCAGTACCCCCGCCTCTTGCCCTCCAGCTTCCCTTTCCTTGTCCCTAAGCCCCGCTGCTCCTCGCCTTCTGCACTGCAGCTCCCTCCCCACCCCCCCAGTCTCCCGGCCTCCTTCCTCCTAGTCCCCCAGCTACCCAGTGCCCAACCTCCTCTACTGCACCCCCTAGACCTACCTCCCCAGTTTCCTGTCCCCTGTTCCCCAACCTACCAGCCTCCCGCCTCTTCCGAGCCTCCCCCACACCCTGGGGACCACCAAGGTCTGGAAGGGCCTCCCACCCGCCTGCCCTTGTGCTGCCCCTTTGGGATGTCAGGGGCCTGGAGACCGCAGGTAACAAGTCGGTGACCTGCCCACACCCTGTGTTGCAGTATGAGATGTACAGCATCGAACGAAACGCCGAACGCACCGCCACCGCGGGGAGGCTGCTCTATGACATGTGAGTGGGCGCGGTGGGGCGGGCTTGGGTGCACCTACAGCTGCACGGAGGCTCCCACCCCCACCCCGGGACCCTCTGGACCTCCCGGACCTGCAGCTCCTGCAGAGCAGCCTGTTGCTGTTTCTTTTTGCTCTTGTTAGAACGCTTGTCCAGGGTTTTATCTTATTTAGGAAAGGTCATGCTCACCGCAGAAGTTCAGACAATAAAGTTAGAGAGCGAAAAATGAACGTCTCTCCTAAGCGCCACCAAAGTTCCCTTCTGCCTGTGTCTGCACGGATGTGCATATTCACTTAAGCAGGGTTTGGAGAAGGGGCATGCAAAAGTGAGCTCAGACTCGCTTATCCTGCAGCTTGCTTTCTTTATCACTGCAGAGGACCCCTGGTCTTATGGATGTGTAGAGGATACATTGTTCTTTTCCCTGTTCCTTTAGCATTTGTAGCCACTCTTCCTGGTGCACACTTACAATCCTTCCCCATGATTGGTAGTTCAGTTCAGTGTTGGCAATTCTATACTCATGTTTTGGAGATTTTCCGTAAACTAGATTCTCAGTTGTGTATTTTCATAGTCAAAAGGTATGCACATTTAAAATAAAATCGTATTCCTCTTCTCAGGATACTTTCTGGAAAGTACGTTCCAATTTACGTTTCCACTAATCGTGGATAAGAATGCCAGTTCCCCCCACCCTTCTAACATTGGGTATTAGCAGTTTCTAATTTTTGCCAGTGTGATAGGAAAAAATGGTATCTTCCTTTTAAAAAAATGAGAGAGGGGGGAGAGTGAAAGGATGTATTTTTGCAGGGCCTTACTGTGTGACTAGCCTCCCACCCCAGCCTCCCAGTTGGTTAGGATCACAGCTGTCCACACAGTCACACCTTCCATGTCTGGGTCTTCCTGGAACTGAACTCCGGCCTCCTGAGTGGCTGTCAGCATCCCAAGGAGTGGCACTATGTGGGCTTTTGTGGCTTTTGTTTTTGTTTTTTTTTTATTGGTGGACTTTTTTTTTTTCCTTTAATTTGTGCTAGTTGTGTTACTAATAAGGCAGAGTATCGTTTCAACCCTTCTCTTGAGCTAATTGTGTTCTATGATTTGTCTTACCTCATTTTTCCTTTCGGGTAGGTTATTTCATTTGTTGATTTTTTAGTAGCTTTTTATATATCATGATGGCTTGTCTTTTCATTTATAAAAATTTCTAAAGACTTTGTGTGTACTCTTATTTTTTCAAAATGACTTTATTTATATATCTTTATTTTGGTTTATTTGGGTGCACCTAACCATTCATTTGAAATAAAGAAAAATGTTTTTCTCCGAATTCCACTGTCCTTACTTTCTTTTCTGGATACTGCATTTTAATTTAATGCATTCATTTTAAAAATAGGTTTGTGAATTTCCCAGACCAACCGGTGGTATGGAGAGAAATCAGCATTATCACATCAGCATTACGGAACGATTCCCAGGACAAACAAACCCAGTTTTTAAGAAGTAAGAATGGGTACTCATTTAGTGGTGTGTAAATGACCGTTTCTGGGACATCACATCATATACAGTAATTTCACAAAGCCACATGTGCAGTTTTGGTACCTAATATGTGTGTTTTATTCTTGGCCGCAAACGTCGGTAATGACCTCACTTGGTCTGTTGGCCCTTTGCTGGAAACCCTTTAGACAAGTGCGTGGTCTTTTCCTCACCATGCAGCACACTGTTCACATCGTTCTTCACTGTCCAGTCAGGCCTCCAGTCAGACTCAGCAAACGTCTTGCACCAAATATATCAAACCCCCAAACCTGCCAGGGTGTAAGAGAAACCTAGCCCACAGAGTTTTCATGCAGTGTTTGCTGTTCTGTGCATGCAGAGCCTCACTTAACGCTTTTCCCTCAGTGTTTTCTTTCTGATCGAAGTTCTTAACGTGCCATGTGTTACACGCAGGTTTGTTTGAAACGCTCCCTGGTCGAGTCCAGTGCGAAATGTTGCTAAAGGTCACAGAACAGTGCTTCAACACGCTGGAACGGTCAGAGATGCTGCTTCTGCTTTTGAGGCGCTTTCCAGAAACAGTGGTACAGCATGGGGTAAGGTTCGGTTATTCTTTTACCTCCAGAGAAAATAATATTAAAAAAAGAAAGAATTAATTTATTTAACTTTATTTATTTATTTATTTATTTATTAAACATGACCAGAGAGGGACCGAGAGAGAGAGAGAAAATGAAAAAACAAGCTGCCGGGTCTGGGATTTGAACCACAGTCAGTCCTATGAGAGTCCAGCACCCTTAACCACCACACCACTTGACAGCCTCTGGAGAGAATAATATTAATCTTCCCCAGATTCATCCGTCTGCTCCCCTGGAATGTGTGTCACACTGAAGCAGAGATTCTGAGGGCACAGATGAGATTGACCTTGAGCCAAGGACTCACTGTGCGGAGTTAATCAGACATCCCTGTTAGCAGATTTCGCATGCGTCCAGGGAAGTTGCTGCTCAGTGTAGGGGAACAGCCCTCAGCTCTGTAGTGCTGCTCATTTCCAGTCTGTATAGTGAAAGGTAACCTTTTCCATTGTATTGGACAATGAGTTTGAATTTCAGTGCTATAGTAAAGTCTTTTTTTTCTTTTAGGTATTTGCCATAGGGCATGTGCATTCACTGGAGAGAGACAGAGAGAGAGAGAGAGAGACAGTGAGAAGTCATCCCCCAGGGGGATGGCCACGCCACAGTCCCTTGTCCTCCATTCTCGTGGGGTTTGGGGCACACATGTACACACGCTTGGTGGGGATTTCAAGCTGCCAGGTCAGGGACTTGAACTGTGGTCAACCACGTAGGAGTCTAGCACCTTAACTACCACACTGTTGGCTGGCCCCAGTTCACAGTCTTACCAGGTGTGTTTTTCACATGCTTCTGCACTGTGGAGACCGTCTCTCCTTGTCCCTCCTCTTACCTCTTTCTGTAGTGGCTACTGATGCTCTCGACAGCACTGGCCCGTGCTAGGTGTGTCCTTCTGTCTTCCTGAATGCCCCAAAGTCAATAATGTTCCCCTTTACAGAAGAGGAAACTGCGTCTCCAGTGTGTCTGTGACTTCCTGGAGCTGGCACAGAGTCGGAGTTCAGACCATTAATTTGATTCATCCAAACACATTGCTTATTCTTGGCCATGCCCTCTTTCTGGCTCCTGGCCCTAGTCGACCTTTTCATACCTCCTCGTTTTAGTCTCCCAGGGCTGTTAGAACAAAATACCAGAGACCAGGTGGCTTAAAACAACAATTCACTCACAGTTTTAGAAGCCAGAAGTCCAAAAATCAAGCTGTCCGCCATGTTCCCTCCAAAGGCTCTAGGGAGGAGTCCTTCCTCACCCCTCCCTCGCTAGCAGCCACCTCACTCCACTTTCTGCCTCCTCTGTCACATGGTCCTCTCCCCCTTGTGTCTGTGTCTTTACGTAGCCTCACAAGGACACTTGCCATTGATCTTAGGGCCACCCAATCCAGTGTAACTTTATTTTAACTAATTGTATTTACAAAGACACTATATTTTTAAGAGTAAAATAAATGGAAGGTCACAACTTAAGGTTCTGGGAGGATATGAACTGGGGAGGGGGACACTAGCCAACCCAGGACACTCCTTGATTTGTTCTACACAACCATAGAGCATCCCCGTGTGGTTGCAAGGGGAATAACACACATCTTGGTGGATTTCCATAGAGGGTTTTCTGTTCTACTCGGGCATCAGGAATGGAAAGACAGCCTTCAAACCCAGACAGTTCTCTCTGGTCTCGCCCACACTGTACATCTGTACTCCTCACAGTTCTTGGAAGTGATGACGTTTCTGTGCGGTCCATTTCTAGAAAATCTCCACATCCACATTGTCCTTCTGACCCTACTTCTGGGGCCTCCTATGTGTCTCTGGGCATCTCATTAGCATTTGAATTTTGCTCGCGCAGAGAAGAACCCAGGCCGTGTAGCTGAGTGGCCAAGTGGATTTGGCCTTCTGGGTTGTGTTGCTGAAGATTGTTTTGTTTTCTAGTCTTTAAAATGGGATTATTTGTTTCTCCAGGAGGTATTTGTGAAGTATGTGATAAATGACAAAGTACCCGGTGTCTTACAATTCCAGCATTTTACACCATAACACCGCTAAGTGATTCATTTTATTTTGAAACAGGTTGGCCTCGGGGAAGCACTGTTAGAGGCTGAAACAATTGAAGAACAGGAGTCTCCCGTTAACTGCTTTAGGAAATTATTCGGTGAGAACAAGTGCATTTTGTAAGACCTGGTTGTGGCATGGAATGGAACTCTTGGTTTATTTTTTCAACCCAGAAATCACTTTACACAGCTTTTAAACCTTTATTACGTAAACAAAAGGCAAGGTATGCAGGACATAAGAATTGGAAAATTATTTGCTGAGAACATGTATGTCGATGTGCTTGATTGAGTCAATGACAGTGTATTGTGGATGGAAAATTCATTTGTGTGTTGTGATGGTGTATAGTGAATTAATGTAGAAAATGAATAAATTTAAAAAAAAAAAACCTTTATTACATAATAGTTGAAACTTTGGAAAGAGTATGCATAACCATATATGTAAGTGTGAAGCATAGTAACAAATACACCCCGACCCTCCCGTGTGGAATAAGACTCCTCTCTATTTTATTTTATCTTACTTATTTTTGAGTTAATTTCTTTCATGAGATTGAGAGACAGAGACAGAGAGAAAGAGAATCACTTTGAAGAGGGGCTCACACCACAGTCCTGCTCACACCACAATCCCTCTCCTGACCCCAGCCCTCGTAGCCAGCCAGGATCATGGCGTGCATGCCAGCACATATGGGTTAACCGGGGAACTGAACTCGAGGGTTTGCATTGGGATTCTCTTTTTTTATTTATTTTTAGATTTTTCTTTTTTTGGAGAGGTTTTTGCTATAGGGCGTGTGCGCTTGCCAAAAAGACAGCGACTGAGAGACAGAAAGTGAGGAGTCACCCCCCCCGGGGGGATGGCCACACCACAATCTCTTCTCCTCCATTCTCTCGGGATCTTGGGCACACACGCACATGAACTCGGCATGAGTTATAAGCCACCTGGTCCGGATCTCAAACCGTGGTCGACTACATGGGAGTCCAGCGACATAGCCATTATGCCAACTGCTGGTCCCTGCATTGGGATTCTCTTGAGCAGCAAATGTCCACTGCACCACCGAGCTGGCCCCTTCTGTCTATTTCAGATCCTCCATTCAGTGAGCTCTAAGATAGCATCTGCTTTTGCCAGAACCCCAGGGTAGACAACACGGCCAGTTTCTTTTCCTCTTCTGCAGTTTGCGATGTCCTCCCTCTGATCATTAACAACCACGATGTCCGATTGCCCGCCAACTTATTATACAAATACTTGAACAAAGCCGCTGAGTTTTACATCAGTTACATCACTCGGTCTGCTCAGGTAGAAAACCAGCACCAAGGTAAGGGGAAGGGCCTGCAGCCCTGTTAGGCTGGGTGTTAGTAACCCCTCACTATCTGATTGTTCTCTGGACGCATACCAGCTTCCATCGTCTTTCTAAAAGACGGCATTTAGAAAATGACCATTACGGTTAAGAGATGAGACTTTTCTGGAACCAGTTTCATTCTTCGATCCCAGCGGTCAGCCTGTGGAACTGCAGCATCCGGGCACTGAACGTCAACACTAGCACAGCCCCAGGCTCCCTGCCCGCCTATACCAGTGGCCAGTGGCGGGTCCCCAAGACCGTGTAGAATGAGTTGGAATTCTGTACTTTTTCTTTTGAATGGGGAGTCAGGCTTTTCCTTTCTCAGTCAAGTACTGTGTAAGCAGTAAGTAGCGATGATCCTTCTAAGCCGCCTTTTCTCCCATCCCAGGTGCCCAAGATGCTCCCGATTTAATGTCGCCCAGCAAACGCAGCTCTCAGAAGTACATCATCGAAGGGCTGACTGAAAAATCGTCCCAGATCGTGGACCCTTGGGAAAGGTTGTTTAAGATTTTGAATGTTGTCGGCATGAGATGTGAATGGCAGATGGACAAAGGAAGACGGTAAGACATAGCTCGTGTCTTGAATGGCCTGTCAGATCTTACGACTGTCTAATCTGAGGATCCTTGTAAAACTCGAAAACTTAAAAAAGATCCCATCATGTGCAGACATACAGTTCTTTGGGCACATTTTGTAATCCTCTATTTTTAGGCAAAAGACATCAGTTTGGCATTTTATCAAAAGACTTTTAACTAAAGTGTGAGTTCTTACTGTGATGCTATGGCACTTGACTTTGAAGCTCTTCTTCCCAGCTCAGAGGAGAAGCTAACATAGCACGTTCGTGTCATGCCATCTGGGTGGGATCCACACTCTAACTCTGAAGAGGAGATTTACCATTCGTTCGCAGACAATAAGGGATGATTTTACATGTCGAGAGCATTTACGCTTGGGAAATGTAATGGTTCTGTCAGGGCTGTTCTTGGTGCCTTTTCCGAGAGGCTCAGAATAGTGGGCTACGTTTTATTCTCTCCTTCCTTTCAGAAGCTATGGGGATATTTTGCATAGGATGAAGGACCTCTGCAGGTACATGAACAACTTCGACAGCGAAGCCCACGCGAAATACAAAAACCAGGTGGTTTATTCCACCATGCTGGTGTTCTTTAAGAGCGCGTTCCAGTATGTGAACAGCATACAACCCTCACTCTTCCAAGGTGAGTTTACGAAGTGTAGCGCGTCCCTAAACACTGGTTTATAGGGGACGCCGAGGAGGCTAGAATGTTTATCGCTGTAACCGTTGCTAGATTCACCGGACCACAGGGAGGGGCCAGTACTCTTTATAGTTGGTGGCTCACTTTGGCTTAGTGAGTAAAGCACATTTTCATTATGAATTTCTGTATCAAAGAATGTAGAATACTTGGAAACCAAGTACAGATTTCAAAGGCCTCTTTTTTTTAAAAGATGGCAGAAGTATTGAAGTAGAGGTCCCAAAGACATCCCCAGAGGCAAAGGTTTCTCCAGTAAAATGTACATTTTTATAGTATTTTATATGTGGGTATGAAAATTTGTGCATATATATCCCAGAAAGCTGGCAGACAGACATCAGGGAGTGACAGCACCACAGTCCTTTCACCATTCCGTCTGTTAGCTCATAATCTTTCATACATTTTTTTTTAGATTTTGTTTAGAATGTATGACCATAAGGAACATGTAATTCTGTAGTCTAGCTTTTCATGGTAATTTTATGATTTGCGGTCATTGTAAAAAATGTGCAGCTATCTAAGAACAGTTATGAAGGAGGAGCCACCACTTGTTGTCTGCTTTGCAGAGAACCTTGTTAACATCTGGCAGACACCTGTGTCTTTGTTCTTCTGCGTGTGTGTACTTGTCTGTTTAGCTCATCGGAGGAGCAGTGAACGTATCTTTAGTGACCTTCATTTTCACGTGACATTTGAGGAAACTCCCCGTGACATTAAGTGTCCTTTCCCTTGCTCTGTTTTTAACTGCCATGTTTTCCAACTGTAGGTCCCAATCCCCCAAGCCAAGTCCCGCTGGTTCTTCTTGAAGACGTGTCCAATGTGTATGGCGATGTAGAAATCGATCGTAACAAACACATACATAAGAAGAGGAAGCTGGCCGAGGGCAGAGAAAAACCCATGGTAACTCTCTCCCCTAGCATCATTAACGGTTTTTATGTTAGTGGTTAGCTAGCGATGGATCTTTGTAAAATTCAGCTTTGCAGCTAAATTGATCAAGCTTAGATTTTTAAATGATGATGAGTGAATTACTGTATAAGGCAGTGGTCCTAGCTAGAGGTGATTTTGGCCTCCCCAGGGGACATTTGGTAATGTTTGAAGACATTTTTGATTGTCACAGCTTGGGGGGGGGGGGGGGCTTGCTGTTGGCATCTATGTTAAGTACTAGGAATCGGGAGCATAGGGGCCAGGAATGGGGGTGCTTGCCATTGGCATCTATGTTAGGGGCCAGAATGGGAGGGCATAGGGGCCAGGAATGGGGGTACTTGCCATTGGTATCTATGTTAAGGGCCAGGAATGGGGAGGGATGGGGGCCAGGAATGGGGGTGCATAGGGGCCAAGAATGGGAGGGTCTTGCTGTTGGCATCTATGTTAGGGGCCAGGATGCTGCTAAACAACCCGCAGTGCACAGGACCGCCCATAAGGTCAGTAGTAACGAGGCTGAAAACCTTGGGGTGAATTACTCACACATGCTCTTACCAAATGGCATTGATTACATTTCAAAACCCAAACTGCATTCGCGATCAAAAAACAAATTTTAGAAGTAAAATTCAAATGCATGAGTATAAAGACGCACAGGTCTTTCATTTTCAAAGCTCAGTTGTTGAATGAAAAAATGTATATGTTCACGTGGGATCTCTGGACATCGGTCCATCGGAGAGATGGCACCGACAGCGTGAACAGAGGGCGTTCCAGTGTCTGAGCACGTCTCACTGGGATCCACCCCATTCTCCATGTTCTGCACACAGAGTTCGGACGATGAAGACTGTTCCACGAAAGGAAGAAATCGTCACATCGTGGTCAATAAAGCGGAGCTCGCTAACTCCATCGAAGTGTTGGAGAGCTTTAAGTTGGCCAGAGAGAGCTGGGAGCTGCTGTCTTCCCTCGAATTCCTCGACAAAGGTGGGAATGCACGCGGCATGGCGATGCTGTTCCATTTCTCATGTGATACAAAATCACTGTGCTACAAACTCACAATGCTACTTGAGATGCCAAGTCCCTTAAGGCTAATTGAATGGATTGCAACAGTCCATACATGTTGTAGGATTCTTTCTTGATGGGATAGCTAAGCAGTTACTAATATTCAAAAGACCATTCCCTCTGAGCTCTTAGCAGGTGGGTACATTATCATCAGCATGGAGGTGCAGTTTGAGGGAAAGGTCTCGGTCTTTAAATATCCGCTTGCTAGCCTTTTGTTTCTTGCTGGGTGGGTCTGTTTTGTGATGTTAGTTGTTTCTTTCCTATGGCTGTGCGACTAAGAATACAAAGAGTACAAATGGGACCAGCAGACAGTGTGATGGTTAAGGGTGCTAGACTCCCACATGGCCGACTGCGGTTTGAGTCCCAGACCTGGCTGTTCTCTTTCACTTTCTCTCTCTCTCTGTCCCTCTCTGGTCAAGTTTAAATAAATAAATAAAGTTAAATAAAATAATAGAATAATTCTTTTAAAAAAAATATAAAGAGGGAACCAGCAGTTAGTGTAATGGCTATGTTGCTGGACTCCCATGTAGTCGACTGCGGTTCGTGTCCTGGACCCGGTGGCTTAAAACTCACACCGGGCGCGTGTGCGTGCGTGCCCAAGATCCTGAGAGGAGAATGGAGAAGGGATTGCGGCGTGGCCATCCCCCCTGGGGGGTAATTTCTCACTTTCTGTCTCTCTGTCTCTGTCTGTCTGGCGAGCGCACACGCCCTATAGCGAAAACCTCTCCACAAAAAAAAAAAAAAAAATTAAAATTAAAAAAATAAAGAATAGAAATGGTATTGCAGTTTTTTTCTGCATTAACTCCACTGCTTGAAAAACTCAAAATCCAAAAACAGTGAAAAGCTGATTTTTTTTCACTAAAAACATAAAGCTAGGTGGGGTTTTCTCTGTAGAATATTGACACTAGAAGTCACTAGCTCTCTGCAAGCCAATGCGTTTTCTGTACTCTGAAAAGCTTAGGGCTTGCCTTTCAGCCAGTGGACGTTCATCCTCTGGCCCCCTGTCACACAGCAGGGGTGGCGTGTCATATTTTCTCAGTAAATACAGTGTCATTCAGTTCCTCCTGGTTGCATCTATCATAGAATTGTGAACATGTAAGGGACTGTTTGGGAGATTTTTTCCTTCAGCCATAAATTAACTTTAAACTTACGTCGGGCATGTGTGTGTGTGTGCCCAAGATCCTGGGCAGAAGGGATTGTGGTGTGCCATCACCCCTGGGGGATGATCTCTTGCTTTCTGTCTCTCTCTGTCTCTCTCTGTCTCTCTGGCGAACACACGCCCCCTATAGCAAAAATCTGTCTAAAAAAAAAATGAGTAAAGCCTCTGGTGTCACTGTTTATTTACCTGCATGAAAATGAAATGGGAGCCCTTTCTGGGGAAAGCAGAGCACTTCAGAAGATAAACGAATACCTAGAAAGCACCTGAAGCAGCTCTTGGCATGTGGCACGGGCTTGGTAAATGGTCCTACGTAATAAAATACTGCCGTGCGTTACTTAGAAGTGCCGTGTGTGTGCCACCTTGACTGTCTATTGCTGGTCGCTATCGAGAATCTTATTTTCGAAATCCAAGCCTAGAATTACTATACATTTTTTCGTAATCTATCTCTGCTGTTAGTGTTTCTTCGCTTCGTTTTCTGCTTCCGCATTTGATAAATTTGCTTTTGAATTTGCAGAATTTACAAGAATTTGTCTGGCCTGGAAGACGGATACTTGGCTTTGGTTAAGAATCTTCCTCACTGACATGATCATCTATCAGGTAGTGTGAAGGGCACTGCAGGTACTAAGAGTCACCGTAGGGTGCCTGCTGCCAGCAGCTTTGACGTGCGAGGCCGGCATGCTGTGTTCCCACCCCGGGAGAGCCCCGGCTCATTTGCACATGGTCCGCCCTCTCCCTCGGCGGCTGAGGGATGATGGCCCGCTGTCATCTCAGAATCACGCCCAGATGCCAAGGCCATCTGTGTTACCTTTGGTATGCCCAGCCACACCCCTCTATAAAGGGAGACTTTCACTTTTCAGTGGAAGACACGTTGTCTCCCCCGTCCTCTCTCTACTGCCATGGGCTGTTCTCCAGCATCTGAGAATGGAGAGTGTGGAGGACTCACACCTGGAAGGTTGCTGCTGTCCTCCTTTACGAAAGTGAAGCAGTGTCAGTAGGGAAATATTGCTAAAGTGGTGGCGTATCCAAGGTATACTTTATCGAAAGACTTGTGTTATTTAGTCTTAAGGTCTAAGACCAGAAAGAAAAATTCTTATGCTGAAAAGGGATCTCTATACAGAACCTGAATTTAGCTTTCAGTAAGTTGATTTTATTGTGGCTAAGTGCCCTTTCCCCCTCTTCAGAGGGTCCGGCCGAGGCATCTTACGTGTAGTTGCTCATTGAACTCTGGAGGGTTTTTGTGAACAGCAGCGTTCTGTTTTGTTTTTGTCCCTTCTTGCTGTTTTGTCTTCCCAAGGGTCAGTATAAAAAGGCAATCGCCAGCCTGCATCACTTGGCAGCTCTCCAGGGATCGCTTTCTCAGCCGCAGATCACGGGACAGGGGACCCTGGAGCACCAGAGGGCGCTCATCCAGCTGGCCACGTGCCACTTTGCTCTAGGGGAGTACAGAGTAAGTGTGTCTCGTACAGAGCCTTCGGGGCACCGGCCACCCCAGGTATCTGCTGTTCCCTTTTCCCTAGAGCATTTGGCCCCGGCTCGCTCGAACTTGGAGTCTCTGCCTACAGTCGTTTATGCGCTGGTGAAATTATGTTTGCTTTATTTCATCTTCTCTTTACCATAAGTTCTCTGAAATTAGGCTTAACTTTCTTGCCTGCAACCATTTAATCATGTGCTCAGTTCTGTCCTACTTGACTAGGGGTATTGCTAAGTGGGAAAAGGAGGGTGTATGTTTAGCCTGCTCAAACCTTGGACTCTCTAGGTGGGTGACACCTCAGAGGGGTGTTGCAGGAGTGGCTGAATCAGCAGTCTGTTTCCTCCATGAGGCTGCTGGCCCTTCCTACCACGGGTGGGCTGTGTTTTCTTCCTCTAAATCTCTCAGCACCTACCATGGTGTGCACAGCATAGATGGACAATAAATGTTTACATTCCATTAAAACGGTAAACATGTTTTCTAAATATTTTCTGTATATTTGACCCTGTGTAACTGGCCAGTTAAAAATCCAATATTAATTTAGACATCTCAGATATATACATACTACAGGCATTCGGGAAGGGTGTTTTCACTTGGGTCCACGTAGTCAAGGAAAGATTTATAGAAAGGAGTGGCGGGAGGTGGGCACTGACGGAGGCAGAAAATCACTTTCAAGTACAAATCCCGCCCCCACTGCTCTGTGTGTGGATCAAATCACGTCACCAGGACTGTCCAGCTGCAGGGCTGCGCCCAAGGTCTTTTCTCTCTTTTTTTTTTAAGTTCCTTTCTAACATGAGACAGAGCCAGGCACTTCCAACAGGGTCCTCTGCAATTCACCCGCAGCGTCGGACAGCCTTAGGTCAATGAACACCCCCACGCTCAGAGGTCTCTGGGATGTGAACCGGAACTTTTCCATTTCCCAGAGCTTTGCTTTGCCGCCGCCGCACTACCCAGACTCCAGAGCTCAAGTTCTTAACCCGGTGGCCAGGCATGGGTTCTAGAGGTTCCAGGATGTGGACCCCTCAGCCTTCGGGCCGTCAGCCATGTCCCAGGGCAGCGATAGCCGCCAGGGTCACCTGCAGCCGGCCTTGAGCAGCTCTCCAGATATTCTCTGGGTGTGCAAAGACGTGAAAAAGGGGGGAGCAGTAGAGATGATAGACGGTTGTGCCTGACACATGGGAAATGCTCGCTTAACGGAATGTGGGTGCTCTCATGAGAATTCGAGCGGATGGCCCAGCAGTGAAGCCGAGCCCCAGTCCGGGCCAGCCTGCTCGCCGCTGCACGCAGCCTTCCTTCACCCACCAGCTCCTCTGTCTGCCTTCGGAGCTGCATTTCCCAAACCAGCCTCCTCTCTTCTCGAGTAAATCTCCCAGACCTCTGCAGCCCTGCCTCAGGCCTCTATCTCCTGCCTTAAAACCTGGCTTTGTTCTGCATTCCAAATCCTTCCCCCTTGAAGGCTTAGCTCAAGGTAACCTTCGTGCCTGAAGCTTTTCTTGCTCGTCTGGCCTATGTGTATTTCCACTACATCTTACGCTGGGCTCCAGCTCCTGCTCTTCCCTGTGTGACCCTCACTGCACATCTCGTTTGTTCATTTTTCTATTGAGTGAGCTAGTATTTTATCTTTAAGGCAGGAACTTTATTCCTTTGAATTTCACTGTGCCGTTAAACACCTTGATAGTTTAATGAATACTTGGTAAGTTTTTAAGTTTTGTTCTTTTGTTTTGTAACAGCCGAGAATGGGTTATGGCCCCCTCAGGGTCTAGACCGTAGATTCCATCTCCCTGAGAGCCTTGTTATGAGCATTTAGTGTGCACGCGTGCACACACGTGCGGTGCAGAACGACACTCACGTAATGAGCATTTAGTATGCACGCGTGCACACACGTGAGGTGCAGAACGACACTCACGTAAAGAGAGGGTCGTCCTGTGACAAGGCCTCAGCCCTCCACGTGCCTGTGTTGCCTGGGTAGATGCTGCAGGCAGTTGGCTGTTACGTTTGCTTTCCCTTCAGAAAGCTTCAGGCGAGCTCTCTTGGTCTCTCCTTCAGATGACATGTGAAAAAGTCCTGGATTTGATGTGCTACATGGTACTCCCTATTCAAGATGGCGGCAAATCGCAGGAAGAACCCTCAAAAATAAAGCCCAAATTTAGAAAAGGTACAGTGATAAGTTTCATTATTATTTTTGTAAAAAATAACTTTCAGACCCAAGGCTGAGAAGCGCTCAATAATTCCTAATGAGATAGTGTATCGTGAGCTGTAGGGCTTGGCGGACTGTGTAGGAACTTAATGCCTTTCCCTGTTGTCGTTGGCTGTGTTTTCATGAGCAGCCATAAACCTGTCTCTCCTTCCAGAGCAGTCCTTACTTCCCGAGTGTCATCCCTGTGAAGGATTTCAGTGAGCACTTCACCGTCTTGCCCAATTCTAGAAGACGGGTAGGTGATTCGTTAGGAAGTATCTCTTAGCATATCTGAATTAGACCATTTGAGCTTCACCTTGAGATTCACGTTCTTAAAAAGCTAAGTGTACAACTGATGTGTTTCCACCTTAAAAGTTAGGAAACAATAAGCAAATTCTACCTGGAGAAAGTAGAAGACAGGAACTAGTAATACCAAAAGCAGAAATCAATCAAATAAAAAACAAAATTTAGGAAATTGATAAAACCCTAGCTCCTTTTTTTTGTTTTTTTTTTTGTTTGTTTGTTTTATTTTTTAGATTTATTTACTTATTTCTTGAGAGAGAGAGAGAGAAAGTCAATGACCTCCTGACAGGGTCTTCACTGTGTGATCCTGCTCCAGCCTCAGCCAGCCTGGATCAAAGATTTGTGCACATGCTCCCCGGTAGAGGGAGGCCCCAGGCTGCAAATTTGGGACTTTCCTGTGTGGGTGCAGCATAATACCACCATACCACTCTCTGGCCCCCAAAATTATTGTTTTAAAAACAGTTATGAAATTGATAAACTCTTAAGAAGGTTAAACAAGAAGAGGTGATTATCAGTATCTGGAATGAAAACAGGACGGTCACTACAAACTCTACCAAAATTCATAGGACAATAAGAGAATAAGTTATAACTAACTTTGCCAATAAATACAGTGGGCTAGATGAAATGGAAAAGTTCCTTAAAAAGCAACAGCTGGGCTAGATGTGGCATGGAGGTTAAAACAACTGGATTCCATATGGCCATTTTCATGGTTCGAGTCCCAGACCTGACCACTTGAAAAGCACTCTGGGCACATATGCATGTATGCCCAAAATACTGAGGGAGAATAGAGGAGAAAGGCTATGGTGTGGCCATTCCCCTTGGGGGAGGGTGATTTCTCAATTTCCCTCCCTTTCTCTCTGTCTCTGGTGAGCACATGTGTTCGACAGCAAAACTAAAAAAAAAATAAAAATTAAATAAAAATTAAAAAATAAAAATACCAATACAATATATGCTCATCAGAGTGAAAAGCTAAGCCCTAGATTGCCAAGAAATTGCCAAACACATAAAATCAACAAACACATAGTATCCAGAATTTTGAAATACATTCGGACCAGTATGAAGCAACTGACATCTCCCCAAGAAAAACAGGCAAAGGATATGAATAGCAGATGCAGAAATCCAAATGGCCTCAAACTAAAATCTTTGAAGAAAAATATTCTAAATATTCTCAGCCTCTTAGTAATATAGCAAATGCACATTAAAACAATACACTACCATCCGACACACTTGAAAATGCAAAATGTGAAAGAGAAGCAAGACTGTCTCGTGGTTGTCGTTGAGCACTTTGGCTGTATGCTCCTAGAAGGTTCTCAAGTTCATGCAAACACCGTGGAAATCAGTTCAGCCTACCAGGGTGAAGCTACCACTCCCTAGCCACGTGCCTCCCTTCCTAGCGCATTCCTTAGATCAGGGTGTTTCAAACTATAGGTCTTCACCTCCTGGGTCCTGTCCTGAGTTTCCATCAGCTTTCTTTTCTACCGAGATAGAGTTTGATAATATTTTCAAATGATCTCAGGTGGAAAGCATAAATATTATTTTATGGAACTTTTGATGTAGATATATAAACCCATGTGAGTTTGTGTGTACATAATCTCCATGTTAAAAATGTATTTGTGGACCAGCTGGTAACATGCTGGTTGGGGTGACTGGACCCCACATGGCTGGCTACACTGTTCATCCCAGTGCACTGGGAGATGCACTGGATATATGTATGCATGCCCGGATTCCCAAGAGGAAAATAGAGGAGAAGGGATTACAGCGTGGCCATCCCCCAGGGGAGGTACTTTCTGTCTGTCTGTCCATCTCTTTCTCTCTGGTAAGCACACCCTCCCACTAGCAACACACACACACACACACGCACACACACACACGCACACATTATTTCTTGCTACCTCTTGCTTCTAGGTAGAAGAAGATTTAGAATATAAGTAGTATAGACCATGACAGAAAAAAAATGGGATCTTGGTTTGAAAGCCATTGTTAAAAGTCTTTCCACGTATGAAAATATATGTAAGAATTTGTCTTTCCACGTATGAAAATATATGTAAGAATTTTTTAGCACTGTTTGTCATAGTAAAAAATTGGCAATGTCAATACCCACCATGAAAAGAATGGATACATTGATTGTGGTATACGTAAAACAGCAGAGTACTACTGGTGGGTTGTCTGAAAAGTCATGATGCATTTTTGCATAGAAAACTATGCCGTGACTTTTCCGACCACCCAATATGTAACAGCGGAAATGAACACGCCTAGAACTGTATGTGCTGGTGTCAGTGATCCTGAAACAGAAGGTTGACTGGAAAAGGCAGTTTGGAGAAGGGTATATACGGCATGGCACCAGTGATGAGCAGCCCGGAAGACGGTCCTCCGTGCCACTCATGGACACAGACAGGCGCTGAAAGTATATAACCTACGTGGGAAGGACTACGGCAGTCCGTTAGGGCCCTGGCGGGGAGGGTGGGGAACGGAGTCAGACGGGTGCTCGAGAGGCTTCAAATCATTTCATCATCATGTGTTGTAAATCTTTATAAATTGCATGTTAGAAAGCTGAGTGGTGAGCATACTGGTGCTTTTAATATTCCCTATATAATTTTCTGTGTATTGGACATGTTTTATAATAAGAAGTGTTTAAGTGGGACCAGTCGATGGTGTAATGGTTATGTCGCTAAACTCCCACATGGTCGACTGCAGTTCAGGTCCCAGACTTGGATGCTTGAAATTCATGCCAAGCACGTGTGTGTGCATGCCCAAGATCCCAGGAGGAGAAGGGATTGTGGCATGGCCATCCCCCTCGGGGCGTAGTTTCTCACTTTCTATCTTTCAGTCTCTGTCTCTGGTGAGTGCACATGCCCTACAGCAAAAAAGGTCTCTTAAAAAAAAAAAAGTATTTAAGCAAGTTTAGGAAGGAAGGTTGATAGATGAAATCCAGAGACCATGAAAAACAGTCTCACCATCACACAGCGTCATCGGGGTTAACTGCGTTTGAGATATGTGACCGTTGCGTATTGTTCTTTTTCACTTCATTTCTTTTATAATAACAAGCATTAATACTAACGTAACACTGTGGCCTTCCGTCAGGTTCGGACCTGAAGCTTCTGCCTTGTACCAGCAAGGCCATCATGCCGTACTGCCTGCATCTAATGTTAGCCTGTTTTAAGGTAGGCGTCAAGTCAACTAACCTGCAAACATTTTACTTTGAGTTATTCTCACAGTCTGAACTGATTTAAACCGAGAACCTTGTTAGCGATGATTTAGTGTGTGTGCATTGATGGGATATAGGAAGAGAGACACACAGGCACCCCAGCAAGGTCCTTATGCCATAATCCAACCCCAGCACCAGCCGTCCCAGATCACGGACACACCCAAGTGCACCCACCATGTATAGGGTAAAGCCCTGGGACGAGAACCCAGCACCTTCGTGGGTGAGTCCCGCCTTGCTGGGTAGTGTGTTACTGCTGTGCCACCCACCATTTGGCCCCCAGTTTAGTATTTTTAAAGGGACAGGATAGTATAGTAGGAAAAGCACATGGGCTGGGAACAAACAAATACAGGAAATTATTCTCATTCTCAAGAGGTTCAGAAAGCATAGCGCTACAGACATGCAAATAACCTCATCTAAGGTCGTGTTCACTAAGTATCTGTGAATTCATATAGTTTGCCAGGTATTAGCTACCGGAGAGGGGGGTCCAACTGGAGTTATTGTGCGCTGGTGAGTTTGCTGTGTAGACATGGTGGGAAGAAGCTTCTCAGGCATTAGGATCAACACCAGTAAAGGCCAACAGCATTGGGCCAGTCCAAGGACTCCTGAGAGAACCAGAGCCCGGGGCTGCAGGCAGGGCAGAACCTTGCAGGGCAGGATCATTTCAAGGTTTAAGTGCAAGAGAGTTACAACATGAGGTCTCTGCTCTCATGCAGTAATTGCCAGATTCAACCATCAAATCACACAGGGCAACAGAATCTATTCAGAGTGTGAGTTTATGCAGAGCTGCTCCTTTGAAGCAGAGTCCTGTTCCTGCCCTTGCTGCTCACTAGGTAGCTCTTCCCCACTGGATGGCTTCTTGCTCACCTCGTACCCTGCCTGTCCCTTAGAGGAACTCCCCAAGGTCTTTTCTGCCATATGGGACGAATCACCTTGCTCTCACCCTGATCCACAAATCCAGAACCTTCAGGCCCGCCCTGCTGTCCAGCTCCCATCTAACACATCGCAGGGACGTTTGCCCCTGGGTTTTGTTTTCTGATTCCATGCCTTCTTACTCTAATGCCCATTCTCATGCCTTTTTATAGACACATTTCTTTTAGGAACAGATGCTTGGTGTATTTTAGGTTTCCCTTTCCCCCCTGTGTCTTGCAGCTCCGCGCCTTCACGGACAACAGAGACGACATGGCCCTAGGGCACGTGATCG